ACACTGCCTTATATGGTTGATGAGAGAAAAAGTGAGCCTACAGGAATAAAGCACTTAAATTGTCTTTTTGCATAAAGCCAGCTCTCAGGGTTTTTTTTATAATTTATTTTAATTGATTTCAGAGAGGAAGAGAGGGGGAGGAGAATTGAGCCCAGGCCCTGACCAGGAATCCAGCCAGGACCTCCTGGTTCATAGGCCCATGCTCAACCACTGAGCCACACTGGCCAGGCCCCACTCTCAGTTTTAACCCTGAGCACCACAAGTAGTCAATAGCTAACATTAAACACTTAATTATAGTGGCTAATCGCTAAAGCTTATTGATCACTTGTGTCTCCGTCACTGTTCTAAGTGGTTTATGTGTATGACCTTATTTAATTCTCGTTATAATATTAGGCAGGAACTATTATCCCATGTTTATAGGTGATGTCAGGAAAGCTCAGAGGTAAAGTAACTTCACCTTCACCCAAGACACCCAGCTTGGGAACCCCGATTCAAATCCAGAGTCTTCAGTTGTTTGTGGTTTTAATCTCTACAATAATGGTCTGGGGGGCATGGTATTGTAAATTGAGATAAAAGTTAATAGTGTAAGATTTATCATTTTAGCCATTTAAAAGTAGGTATACTTTTCATAGAAGCATATTCAGTGTGCAACCATCACCACTATTTAATTCTAGAACATTCCCATCCCTCAAAGAAATTGCACCCCATTAGTGGGCACTCCTTATTTTCCATTTCACTGTCCCCTGGCAACCCTAAGCTTTCTGTCTCTGTGGATTTGCCTGTTCTGAACAGTTCATATAAATGGAATCATGGTATTTGGCCTTTTCTGTCTGGCTTCTTCCACTCAGCATAATATTTGAAAGGTTTGTCCAGGTTGTAGCATGTGTCAGTCCTTCATTCTCTTATCCATTGTGTGTACAGACCACATTTCCTTTAGCCATTCATCTGCTGATGGACGTTTGGGTTGTTTTCACTTTTTACTTAGAGTGAATGGTGCTGCTGTGAACATGGCTCTGCAAGTTTTGTGTGAGCATAAGTTTTTAGTTATCTTCGGTACACACCTAGGAATAGCTGCTATCATTTCAATTCCTACTTCACAAGTGGAAACCTGAAACTGAGGAGTATTGGATCTTGAATGAGCACTTAACTCAGCTTCTACTTAGTTTCCCATTAATTCAGTTTAGTGGTCTACTAAACATTGGCAAAGGAAGGTAAGGAAATTCCAAAAAGTCATGAAACACCAACAATAACTTGTCACAGTGCTGACACAAAGTTTGAGAAACTTCTTAAGATTTTTTCTCCTCAAGAATGAAATTTGAGCTTTCAATGTAAGGCAGTATTTATTAAATATTGTATAATAGCACCATGCCAGGTCCTGAGGAGGAAAATTAAAGATGGTTCTGATCCCACCTTCACACCTTCATAAAGCTGAAGGAGAATTTCAGACTTAAATCGGAAGAACAAAACTGTGAAAGCATTTAGAAAATAATATAGGAAAATATCTTTATAACCCGGGGCTAAGACAGGCTTTCTGAAGTCAAACAGAAGCACAAACCATACAGAAAAAAGATTGATACACTTGACTACATTAAAATTAAGACATTCAGTTTATTGCATGCACTACAAAGAGACAAAACATACAGAGAACTGGTAACTAGAATATAGAAAGAATTCTTAAAATTCTGAAACAAAAAGACAACATAATAGAAATAAGGCAAAAGCAAGGAGTACGCATTTCATGGATGAGAAAATAGCACATAAACACTAGAAGAACGCCAGTCAACCTTGTTAGTAATCAGGAAATGTCAATTAAAACCATATGAGATCTCATTTCACAACACCCTGTGGGCAGAAGGTGACCTGTTGGACATTGCAGCCTTTGAGGAAGAGGCGATGTGAACTTGCTGTCGGTGGGTGTGCAGAATGTTCAGCCACTTGGGCAGTGTCTCCTTCAATACTGGATGGCTTATGGCCTAGCAATTTGACTCTTAGGCTTATCTCCTCGAGAAACTTACACATGTGCTCAGGAGATGTGCACAAACATGTTCATGGCACCTCTGCTTACAATTGTAAAGTAAAAACCAGCAAAACAGCCCAAATGCCCAACAGCAATAGAATGGAGAGATGAATGGACTGTGTTTGTACCGTGAGACAGTGTGCGGCAGTGAAAGGGTAACCAACAACCCCGGGACGAATCTTGAAAACAATATTGAGTGAGAGAAACAAGTCTCCAAAGAATACATGCAGTGTGACTCCTTTATATAAAGTTCAAAACCAGGCAGAACGGAATACAGTTATTTCAGAATCGAATCCGTGCTGGGGTAATGGTACAGCTATTAATAACAACAACTTGGCAATGATTATGTCGGAATTTAGGCAAGTGGTCCCCCCGCCCTCAGGATGGCGGGAGGGGATATATGATCAGGGCAGAAGCAGATGGGGCTTCTAAGACTGGCTTTATTTGTGAAGTAGAATGACTATATGCGAGTTTTGTTTTATTGTTCTTTGAACTGTGCATAATATGTTTTACAACTTTTGTGTGTATTTTTCAATTTTTCTAAATTACAGAAAAGTTAATTTTAGTTAACATTTCCTGTTCTCCAAAGTCCTGTACTCTAGTTGGGGAACCAAGATAGAGACAAGTTAAGTAGAATGCAGAGCGGTGGGGTAGGTGCCATGTGGGTGAGACAGACAGAACTCAGAGGTGGGGTTCCTGCGGTGAGCTAGGAAGGAAAGGAAAGACACATGTGGGCCTCCGGTTTACCCTCAGGGCCTGGCGGGTCACGGTACTTCTCAGTGAGTGCTAGGATTGAACTGGGGAGAAGGAAGGGGACTTGAGCTGTTCTTAGAAGGACAGATAGGATTTGAGTGCTGAGAGCACGGCAGACTCAGACTCTGTGAAGGAAGTAAGATTCCAATACAAAATGTTAATGAAAATAAAGTCCAAGCCCTGCAGCCTTACTGGAAAGTTTTATAGTACCGGGTGCTGACGAGCACGGCGGGACCACCTCAGGTCTACCCCAGTCACTGGAGACCATAGGAATCTCCGAGGCTGCTTTCTGGTTCCTGAATACTCTTGAAGGTTTTGAGTTAAAGGGTATTGCAGGATTTCAGCTTGTCTCTACTCTCCTAAAAATTAGACTGACCATCCGTCTTTTTGTCCGTCCATCCATCCATCCATCGTATGGCACTGTAACAGATAACCACACACTTGGTGGCTTAGAACAACACAGATTTGTTCTCTTACAGTTCTGGAGTCAGAAGTCTGAAGTCACTTTGATGTGGCTAAAGTCAAGGTGTCAGCAGGGCTGCGTCACTTTGGAGGCTCCAGGGGAGAATCATCTCCTTGCCTTTGCCAGATTCTAGAGGTGCCTGCATTCCTTGACCTGTGACCCCTCTCTCCATCTTCAAATCCTGCAGCCAGCGTCTTTTTTTTTTTTAATATATTTTATTGATTTTTTACAGAGAGGAAAGGAAAGAGATAGAGAGTTAGAAACATCGATGAGAGAGAAACATCGATCATCTGTCTCCTGCACATCCCCCACTGGGGAAGTGCGCGCAACCCAGGTACATGCCCTTGACCAGAATCGAACCCGGGACCTTTCAGTCCGCAGGCCGACGCTCTATCCACTGAGCCAAACCGGTTTCGGCCAGCCAGCGTATTTAAATCAATCTCTCTCTGCCTCTCTCTGACTTCTGCTTTTGGTCACATCTCCTCTGACTCTAACCGTTCTTCCTCCTTTTAATAAGGATAAGTGTGATCACATTAGACCCACACAGATAATCCAGGATCATCTCTCCATCTCAAGATCCTTGACTTAATCACACCTGCAGAGTCCCCTTTGCTACATAAGGTGGCTTGTTTACGAGGTTTGAGCGTTAGGCTGGGCATCTTGAGGGCCATTATTCAGAGGACCACAACACCT